TGTTTGGGAGGCATCTAGGCAGTGGTACCAGGTCCTGGGCTCATTGCATGAGTAAGCTGTTTGAAACCTGGGACTTATGCAGGGACACATGGCTCAATCTGGGAGGAGGGGACGGGACCTGTCTGGACTGAGTCTACCAGGTCGATCTCATTCCTCAGGGGAGACCTTGATCTGGAGGAGGTGGGAATGGGGGGTGGACTGGGGGGAAGGGGAGGGGGGCAGGAAGGGAGAGAACAAGGGAATCTGTGGCTGTTACGTAGAACTGAATAGTATTGTAAAATAAAATAAAAAATAGAAAAAAAAAGAATCAATGTTGAATTTAATTCTATCTCTAAGCTCTAAGTATCACTTAATAGCTGGTGCTGAACTTCTGTTTCAAGTTGAATATGTTTAGTGACAAAATAACCAGCATTTGAAATTAATCCCATTTCTTTAGGACATCAAGCTTTTAATAAGCACTTATTTACTGGGTAAATATCAAAACCGAATCTCTTCAGTGTCTAAGAGAAAATATACTGATACAAGAAGCTTCATTCATTAAACTCTTCCATTTTTAAGTCAAACATCTATGACATCAGCCCAAAGCTGTTTTTTCTTTTCCTCCAAGATGCTGGTTCATTCACACAGGAGCAGACACCAGTGCCTAAGCAGGATGTGACAGGCTTTCACAAAAGGCACTGGGTTTCCCTATTCTGCTCACAGTTTGCGTCTGAACAGCTGGCACCTGCGTAAGTGGCATGCTCGTGGGGTAATGTTCCCTGCGGGTCCTAGCTATGCGCTACGAGTCTGAAGTGCTCGCTCTCCTTGGTGCCAACCACAGCATGCAGGCTTTCTTGGCTCCTCGGCTTCTGGGATGTGGTTTCCCACACACACTGTTAAGAGAATACTCTGTACTAGCTGGAGCCATCTTCCTTGAGTTGGCTGGCACGCATCTCTCCACTAAGTCCACATATCAGTCAAGTCTACCAATGACAGGGCTGCGAGAACAAGCAGGAGAAATAGCTGGTTTCTACTGAGTATGTAGAAAGCCAGAAAGAGCACTGCTCCAACCAAAGGAACTGCAGAGACATCTGAAGCCTGCAGTACCCTGGGGAAAAGAATAAAACAAAGCCAAGAGCCAAACCAACTCGTGGCTACTGTAGCTCAACACTTTCCCTCCCCACTAAAACCCAAAAAGGTAAGTGGTTAACATGCAGACACAAATGCAATGTTCCTCGACTTTTACTGTCTTAAAACGTCCAATAGTCAATTCAGAATAAAATGGAAAAGCACACAAGAAACACCACAGTCAAGACTCAGAGCCAACAATATAAATACTAAGAGACACAAATGGTAATGTGTCAGGTAGCGGGAACTATGCAGATAGCTATAATGTGGAGAACAAAAGGTCATGGACAGGGATGGATGCGAGATCACCAAAGACAAAACACAGACTCCTCACTTAGGGTTTAAGGGGGCTGGACTTTTGGATACCACCCCAAGTACCAAAATCTAAAGATTTTCAAGTTTTCTAAGTACAGTGTTACTGCATTTGTATTACCCCACATAAAACTCCTTCTACTTTAAATCAACCCTAGATTACTTATGATATCTAATAAAATGCAAATGGTAGATAAACAATTGTTAAAGTGTATGGTTTAGGAATAAAGGCTATGTTCAGTCCAGAAAGAAGTGCATGCATCTGTTTGTGAGTTTTGGGGGGTTTGTGTGTGTGTGTGTGTGTGTGTGTGTGTGTGTGTGTGTGTGGTTGTGCGTGCATGCCTGCTTGCCTGCCTGTTTGTCTGTTTGTACAATGTAAGTGGAGGCCAGAGGACAACCTTGGATACCCTTCCTCAGGATCTTGGGTGCCATACACCCTGTTTGTTTTTTTGTTTGTTTGTTTGTTTGTTTGTTTGTTTGTTTAAACATGGGGTCTCTCATTGGCATCAAGGTCACTAAAGTCACTAGCCAGCCCCAGGAATCTGTCTGTTTCCATCTCCCAAGGACTGGAATTACAATTATGTGCCATCATGTATGACTTTTTCACTTGGGTTCAGGGATTGAAATCAGGTCCTTATGCTTGCTCAGAAAGCGCGTTAGCAATGGAGCGATCTCCTGATCCCAGAATATATTTCAAATATTTTCCTATGTGATTTGAATCCACAAATTTGAACACTTGGATGGAAGGCTGGGGATGCAAGAATCAAACGGATACACAGCAAAACCTTGGCAACAGACGAGGAGACTTTCCAGTGGTCTTGTCAACACACTGAGTACAACCAAAAAGAGCCTGAAAATGGATCAAAATTGAAAAAAACCCAAAAGAGAAAACACCCAAAATAGGCTGGGAACATAGCTCCATAGCAGAGCACTTGTCTACCATTCACAAGACCCTAAGTTCATCCCCAGAACTTTAAAAAAAAAAAAAAACTAACAAGAAGGGGATGATATGGGGTTTAAAATAAAGCAGAAGGTCAAATAAGAAATGTGAGAAAATTTCAAATCATCTAACATGGACATAGTTAAAATTCCAGAAATATAGAAAGCAGGGGTACAGAGATATTTCAAATCAAAGTGCCAGAGAATTTTCACAATTAATGAGGGACCTAGTCCCTAGTCCGGAGATAGAAGAACTCTAGAGACTACAAACAGAATGAATGCCAAGTGAAAGATCCACACGTATAAAAGAGAAGTGCTGAAACCCAATCAAAGTGGAATCCTGAAGGTTGTCCAAGGGAGAGAGTGACCGAAGTGTAAAGGTTAAAGACGAATACAGCAGACTCCATGTGAGAAAACCCCGAAAACAAACGGGGCAGATCATGGACAACACACTCCTACCTCCACTCTAAGGTGTAGAGCAGCCTAGTACCTGCTACATTTCCTCTCCATAATCACTGAAAACCTTAAATACAAAGATTCTAGTTATCTAGGAGTTAGTAAAGAGTGTACAGATGGAAATCAAACTTTCACAGTGTGGTATTGTATTCCCCCAAATATTGTGCATGCTAATAAACTTATCTCAGGTCAGAGACAGAGCAGCCACAATATTAAACATAAAGGATAGGCAGTGGAAACACACGCCTTTAATCCTAGCATTCCAGAGGCAGAAATCCATGTGTTCAAGGATACAGACAGGCATGGTGACTCATCACGCCTTTAATCCCAGAGAGTGGTGGTAGAAAGCAGAAAGATATATAAGGCGTGAGGACCAGAAACTAGAAGCATTTGGCCTGGTTAAGCATTTGGCTGGTTAAGCATTCAGGCTTCTAGCAGCAGTTCAGCTGAGACCCATTGGATGAGGACTCAGAAGCTTCCAGTCTGAGGAAACAAGACCAGCTGAGAAGTTGGCCAGGTGAGGTTAGCTGTGGCTTGTTCTGTCTCTCCGATCTACCAGCATTGACCCCAATAACTGGCCTCAGGTTTGATTTTATTAATAAGAACTTTTAAGATTCATGCTACATCACAGTTTATGAAAAAGACTCTCATTCAGCAAGTGTATGAGTGCTGAGTGTAGACTAGTTACGGTTCAGCAGGCACAAAGCAAGTACTTTTAAGTAACTAACAGATCATGCACAGTAATATCAGCAAACTCTACTTTCAAGGATGCAAAACAACTGTTTTCATAAAGATTTTATTTATGATATATTATATTTATAATCTTTACCTCAAAGCCAAGTCTATCCTTTTCTTTCCAAAAACAAAAGTGTGTTACTTTCTTATCCCAGAATTCATCTGGCTTCACTACACATACAAGGGATACCTCAGCTGGAACAACATTCTGCAAAACATAAAAGAATAAGTATAAATTACACATGCAAATGACTTACTAAATGTGCAAATTACTAAACACTTGTGAGGATGCTACAATACTTAGAAAAGAAATCAAATAATAAAGCAGAAGAAACTCTCCAAACTCAAAACCTAAATGGCAATAAAGAAAGACAAGCTATTAGGAAAGTTTTCAAACAGTTCTAAACATACCATACATGTTGATTACATTTGTTATATGCAGTATCCCCTGCTGGGAGTACGTTTAGATTAAACCACAAGACTTACATTTTAGCTAAGAAACTGGAAAATTGGTTTTTCTATAGTATGGGATAAATGCTTTCTAATACCACCATCATAAAGAATTTCTTCAGGAAATGAGAAATCCATTTCTCACAAAGTTAGTTTCTTACCTGCCACTACATAAAAAGTCAGGATTCTTTGTGATTATTAACTGCAAGAAGAAGACAAAACCACTTTTTCACACAACACAATTTCACACTTTCTAAAATGACCTGGAGTGGTAGGTAACTTAGTATGTGCTTCTTTTGAATTAGGAAGCTGCACAGAAGTCTAACTTGGAAATACAACTATTCAATTCTGTGGTGCAGCATGAGCAGAAATCCGGGGCTCCTGTAATGACTAGGATGTAGCTAAGGTAAGCAAGATAAACTCAACTGTTTTCAAAACCCTTATCAGAGAGGCTGGGAAGTTTAGGGTGTGGTTTATTCATTTATAAACCTATGGGGGGAAATCTGTATTTCAAAGTCACCGGATAGGAAAGCTATGAGAAGCAAGAGAAACAGGGTTCCTCTTTCAGAACATTAGGGACAGGCAGAGCTGCTCTCAGGGAGCTGGGGGCGCTCCCAAATAGCTGGCTCCAGCCCTAAGATCAAAGCAGCAAGTCACTTCCTGAGTAGAGATAGTTAACTAGGAGAAATGGCAAAGGGAATTCTGAAAAAGTTATATTTGAGTCAGTCTAAATGTCTAAAAATTACCTATCGGGGATTGAAACCACAGCGGGATTCAGTCAGCTGACCTGACTGTCCCACACAACTGTCACAGGTCACAGTGCGGTTCCGAGCCAGTCCCAGGTCCTCACCTGTGACGGGGAGGGTCCCAATCAAAGGAAGACACAAGACCATTACTGGATGGCTTACCTAAATGGAACTTAACAACTGTTTCAGAGAAGCCAGACTGGTCTCCGGGGTGGGGAGGCTACCACACATTTGACAGAGAGGTTGCTATGGGGCACCAATCTTAGAAACTGGTCCTCTGAGGACACGTTTTGAACTCAAGACATAGCCTAATGAGGAAGCATTTAGGTCATATCCTTAGGAAGGAAGCAATAGGGGCTGGAGAGCTGGTTCAGCAGTGAGGAGCACTGGCTGCTGTTCCAAAGGACCCAGGTTCAGTTCCCAGCACCCACATGGCAGCTCACAACTGTCTGTAACTCCAGTCCCAGGGGATCTAACACCTACTTCTGGTCTGCTCGGTCACCAGACACAGTTGTGATACACAGACAATGCATGCAGGTATAACACCCATACAGATTTTTAAAAAAATTTAAAAAATAGAGCAATGGTAGATAATCTGGGATCACTTCAGACACGTGGGAACAGCCAAGGCCCAGTACTTGGGCTGTGCCAACTCCCACCTTCGTGAGGCTGAACCGAAATAATGTGCACAGTACTGGAGCCATACTAAGCTCCAACACTAAAGCTAAAACCTGAAATTATCTCTTTGTTGCCACCCCCAAATCCTTTCAACCCAACCATCCTAAGGAAAGGATGGAGTGTTGCACAGGATTCTCCTAATGGAGGATTTAGAAGCTCAGTCCCATTTCTCTGCACAGAACCTAAAAGAGCAGCCAGTCATCACTCACGTTTCACTGACCCCCTTTGTATGCCATTGATGCTCACTGAACTGAACACATGCTGCCTGCTCCCACTGAATTAATTATATTTTCCCCAAATTAGTTTACCAACTCATTTCACTGAATTTACTTCATTTGGGGGTGTCACTAGGTGACAATTCCTGCCAGGGGTGGCTTTTCATTTTCTTCCATTTATTCAGAAAACTTCTTTTATGTAGCTCAAATATTGCCTTTTCTGGACACTTCTAAAGAAGACCGGGTCCACAAGAGCAATCCACTCCTTTAAATGTCTCCATGTCACATGACAATATTTTCAGTATCCTTACAGCAGATAACAAGAGTTGGCTGTGTCTCTACATGCCAGAGAGCAACAGAACAGTGTGAGGGAGGGACACAAAGAAATACAAGACAAGATGCCTTACCCCACCCCTTCAGACTTAGTAACTGTTTATTCAATGTGAATATGTGAGCTGTTAATGTCCTAAAGACACAGCTATGAAATAAATTTCTGGGCTATAAGTTCTTAGTATGATCATCACAAACCCTTCATTTTTATTGTTGTTTCTTTGTTGTGGTTTTCGTTTGTTTATTGTTTGTTTTAAGAAGTTACTAGCATGTAAGACTGACCCGTAAAACTTGACTCGCTTCCTGTATAACCAACAAAAAAGCAGCCCAGGGTAGGGAGTGTGACCCCGAAAGAGGGGCACCCAGATGAGTCCTGTGCTCTTGGTCTGCACACATGACACCCACAGGCTTTCTTGTTCAGACTACTCCAACATGCCAAACTATTTTCAGCCTTTAACACCTGTACAGCAAGGTGGGGCTCAACTCCACTACCACATAAATTTAAACATATAAAAGTGGAATTTAAGCAATCCACTGGTAGTGTGGGAATATTTTTTCAGAACTCAGTCCCTGCTGAGAAGCCTGGGCATGGCCTGATAAATAATATGTAACTGCAGTTTTCATCAGGGTACCCTGCTGAAAAAGGAACAGCATTTCCCGACCAACAGACAAAGGAAACAGAATCACCTGCAGCATTAAGACTACTGTCTTCACCACATTCCACTGAGACTTCCTGCCATCCACGATCACGGTAAATCCTCGGGCCTTACATTTCTCACTGAAACAAAACACAATCATGGGTGTTAAACCAGGTCCAGACTCTCCTCATAACCCTGGCAGAAGAAGGGAAAAGCTTTAATAGCAGGTGGGGTACAAATCACCTCAACTAGTCTAATCTACAATATCAATGGATAAAATTCTCCCGAGTATTCTTTCCATTTTCTAACATTATTTTTCTCATTTCTGGAAGCATTAATCACAAGCTAATTTGGAAGGAAAATACTCTAAAACGTTGGTAACTTAAGGTCTTAAAAAATGATGAAACTCAAGTACCATTTCAACAGTACCAACAGCTTCTCAATTTTTCCATCTGTAAAATGGGATCAATGAGAACCAGGTAACTACCACCTGCCACATGCCCTATGAACACTTCTCACCAGAACTGAGGATTTGTGAGGAAACAGCTTAAAACAGGTGGAAAATAATAAACTATGGCTTCTTTGTGCACAGGAAATCTAACACAATGAGGTCATACTTGCTTTACAAATTGACTGAAAGCTTAAATGCACCACCTCTAACCCATCGCTGCTTTGATTTCCTCATTCGTCGTCATCTGGCCAGCAAAATGCTATCTTCAGTACTGCAGAATGTGTTGTACCATATTTAATTATTCAAGTATTTACGCAATGTAATGGCTGCTACATGGAAAAGTCCCACCCCAAAGACGAAACTACACAGCTACCCTGACTGTTATCATTATGCACCTGTAAACTTAGTTCGAGGGCCTCGAGTGCCCTCTCTCAGTACAAGGGAGAAACTTCAGCCTTGCTGACCAGAGCAAGGATTTGGAAGGGAAGGCAGTCCAGCCCAGAGGCCTTTCAATTACACCCATTATCAGAAAGGTAAACAGCTGACCTTCCCTGGATTTCAATCTTGCAGTCTATTGGATTTCAGAGGCCCTTCCCTGTTCCCTCCCAGCATCCACATTATCCACAAGAGTTAATTTAAACCTATATTAACTCTAGCATATATCTAACATATACCTAACTAGACAAGCAAAGCAGCATGTCTAGTTCTCCTGAGAAGCAGTGAGAACTCCAGGAATGAGGAGACAGAGCTCAGTATTTGGAAGAGAAACAGGATCCTTGGTAGGCAAAGGCAGAAACTGGGTTAAATAAACCGAGATGTACCCCAAAGATAATGCCAATTGAAGCACATGCCCACACAAGAACGTGAACATAAATAGAAGAGCATACGTTCTGACAGTGAAAAAGGAGAAATCAAATGTCCATCAACTGCTAAACAGGAAATGAAACAGCAAGCCACATCAAAAGTTCCTGTCAGCAGTTGTCATGGACCATGAGACAGCTAACCCTTCAAAACATGCCCAAAGCCAGACTTGAGCACCCAGAAGTGGTTCAGTTCTCCTGTACAAATCCACAGAGCAGACCAGTGGCTGACTGAAGCAGCTGGTGAGAGAAAACAGGGAGGGACTGCTAATGTAGAGAGATTCTTTTGGACAGATGAAAACTATTTGGAGTTAGTGTGACCACACGACCCTGTGACTCTACTACAAACCACTGAAATGCATACTTTACTAAAACGGTATTTTATGGCAAGTTAATGAGATTTGTTTTAAAATTTTAAGTATTCAATGTTGGTATGTACATTGAGGGAAGAAAGGATCCTCTCGATGTTTCTGTGGAAGGGAAGAGGGATGCAATACATGCCTGTGCCTAGGCTTACAGTAGCACTTAAACACTTGCAGGGGAGGGGGAAGAAACCAGACACCCATTGGCATTGGTAGTTACAAGTAAAGAAGAAATTCTTAGAGGTCCTACCAACAAGACATATATGAAGGTCACTATGCCTTAGTGTGGCTTCACAAGCCCAGAAAGGCCAGCCAAGACAGGGGATCTGGATGCGAAGTGGCCTCTGGAGAAAGGCAAGAACTTAGGGTCTCCTGATGCTGAGAAGTTTGCGTGAAATGGAGCCAAGACAAAGGGTTCCAGTGTGGGCCTGACACCCAAAGACACACACCATTCCCAACGCTTGCTGTTTTCTTATTAGCATCTATAACCCTGCGATGAAGGTCACACAATCATTTGCTAAATATGTTTTTTAAAAAATAACACATTTATATTTCAATGCATATTATAAATTATCTGCAGGTTAATACTGTGAAAGTAATGAAGCTTGCAAATGCCATCTGTAACGATCTTAAAGGATAAAACACTAAATCTTTTAGAGTGCTTAAAAAGACCCTTAATTTTAATTTCCTTACATTTTTCACTAAGATTAAAAAATGAAAATATCTACAACCCAGAGATACTATTTCAAAACTGCCAACCAAGTGGTATTTCAAATGCTTTACAAAGGGCATGTTCCCAGGTCTAGGGTGCTGTAAGATACCACGCAATAAAGAAAGAGAAAAAAATTTAAGACCCTAACTCATCAGGACCTTTCAAGGATCACAAGGCTGGTTTAAAACAGCTCTGTAAAAGAAATGTGGATACCAAACACCCTCACCTCTGACCCATGAAAGCCTTTTGAAGGATTTCTAGGGTCAGTGCCCTGATGCTCATAACTATTTCTTGATTTTATCTTAGGGCTCTTCTTTTGCTCAAAGTTCTGCTGATACATATCAGCACTGGTTTGAGTGTGCTTTTATTACAATGCTGTGTGTAGAATTCATCTTCATCAGAGGACATGCTTGCAGAATATCCGAATGTTCGTCTTCTAAGACTGTTAACTCCTAGCTCAATGCTGCGAGATTAGAAGGCCTTGGAAAACGTGTGGCGACTTGTCTGAAAATGGCGGCATCAAAATTCAACAGCTCCGGTCCTATGCTGAGATGTGTCCCAACCACTGTCTCCATGGTCCCAGCCTCTCCTCTAACCCGTGTCCGAGCACTTCATTCCTCTTCCAAAGTGCACCAGCCACACTTCTCTGGCTGGTGTACCCACAAGAATGCTGAACCCACTCCTGTCTCAGGGCCTCTGTCCTCGACAATATTCTTTCATCAAGTACTTTGGGGGCTGACACTCATTTCTATCATCTTGGTAAAGTGTTACCTCGCTGTCCTATAAGCTCCCACTGCCTCTCCTGAGTCTTTGTGTTTGCTCTCTCAGCACAGGGATGCCTGACACACCGAGCATGTGTTTGTGGCACTTGTGTGCTGGTCCCTAGGGAGTGCTGACCACTGGTCCACTTGATTCCCTGCTTACTCAACACCTATAAAACTGAGGCACCCCTGCAGGCTCTCACAGTCACCAAGCAACAGAGATTCACAGCCTCAACGGCTACGTGCCTTGCTAAGTCCTGAAGCCCCTTCCCTCAGAAGTTTCTTCTGCAACAGAGTGTTTCCACAACTAGAAAAAGCTGATTTAAAAATCAGAACTCGGACTTTTAAAATTATCAAAATTTGAGAAATGGACAAGCTAGTTTTAACAGGTGTTGAATTTCTATCAGGAATTACGTGAACAATTCCTTGGGAGCATTTTATGAAAGACCTAAATTGTGAGCCCAGAAGATAGCTTCTGTGGTTTCTGTCACACAGTCAGCAAGTTCTTTTTGAACTAGAAAATAGCATGATTTGAAGTACAGCCAAAGAAAGAAAAACTCTAAAATTTTACAAGATATCCAGGATTTCCTTTAGAATGTGATATTCAGTTATTTTCATGCCAATGATCAGTTGTGGCAGGTCCAAGTTTCATAAGCATTTACTAGAAATTATGAAGCCATGACTGTGATCCCAACACAGGTGGCTATGCACAGTGAGAAGAGATGTGGCCGTGGAGCACAGTGGTTACTGGCAGGCTGGGCCCACCTGCTGGGCTCCAACTCTGTCTCCAGCTCAGGTTTGCACAGGGTTCTGGACAAGCTGGCTGTGCTAACCCTTTCTACGCTTGAGTTCCCTCATAAGGTGGGGGAGGGCACAGCGCTCCTCTCAGGAGAATTAGATGGCTGAATACTACCTATTGTTTCCTTAGATGTATGGTATTCTCTCCATATCTACCACCCAATCCCTGTCCACAGGTCAAATCTGAGGTCTGCTGTAATTAAAGTTTTAAAACCAAGTTCAAAGCAACCACAAGCTTGCTGCAAACAACTACTGTGCTCACTACTTTTACATCTATTTAGTTCTTGACAAATGTGAATCCCTGAGAATAGTCAGTTAGCAGGTCCTACAAGCCCACCTAGGTGCACGCAGAGTTCTGAAGAAAAGGAAGCCCCCAAGAAGACAACGGCAGAAACTGACATGAAGCTATGCATTATTAGTGAAACAGCATAACCTTGGAAAACTTGAAAAGAACTAAATAATGCTTGTAAAAATTGGAGAACTCCCCTTAAGCACATCACTAAATCTGCAATGCGTACGCCTGAGAGAGACAAGAGAGACTAAGCTGGTTAACTTTTCGCCTGCTTTGCCTTCCACCACCTGACTTCCTAGTGCACACTCCTGGTGAACACAAGTCAGGAGACTGAGCTGATCTGCTGTGCCTTCCTTCACTCAGCCGTGGCTACCCAAGCCGCTTGCAGGGTAGCCTCCCAGGGGGCTGAGTGTGATTCCACAGATCCGCAGAGCAGCCTCATCACGGGTGAACACATCTTTTGGAACTCAGCCTCAAAGACATGTGGCAGTGTTGGAGGCACATTCGTGGAAAAGAAATATGGAGGCTTCTAGTCCTGCCTTGCTTGTTTTTATTACATTTTATTTACCAGTTTATTTATGTGTTGTGTGGGGGTCAGCACACGTGTGCTGTGGGATGTTCTGTATGTCCTGTGGGAGCCCTTCTTGGGTTCTTTGTGGCGTTACCCAGCAGGTCTGCATAGAGGATGATTAGGACCATGGGCCTGAGTGCAGGTGTCTGAGATGGTCCTCACTTGGCTGTGCTGGGGGATGGTCTGTATGTCAAGTTGTTCTGA